CATAATGTGCACATATTACGTCTATCGTGGATAAATTTAAAGCTTTATTCATATTGTTATGAAAGAGCTTAAAATTGCGTGAACAATGAACGAACGTGTAGATAAGCATAGAGCAGGAAGGAATTTAGAGGAAATGTGGCATTTGACAATATTAAACTCTGTAACAGACAGAAAACAAGAATAGAAATAAAAATGAACAAAAGACAGAGGAGGATATATGCTAATAACACAGAATTCTATGACGTTGAAAACACAACAGATTATTCTGATGGTAACATAAATTGCAATAGTAACATAAATTAAATGGTAATATAAATGAAAAGAAAGTCAAAGTCAGAAATGAAAGTCAGAAATGTCATGAAAGCTTAAACTCAGAGCCTGATGAATAATACAACTACAAGAATGAATAAAAGGTCATATATCGTTTGATGATTATAAACGATGTCATGTAAAAGGCGGGAAACAAAAAATATATATTACGCATAAAAAAAATGTTTTGCTCTATTACATTCTTGCTTCATTAACATAAACAAATTTCAATTAGGAAGCATACGCAACAAATAAAATTAAAACTATTAGGACGAACCTGCTCATTTTACGAGCAGCAGACTTGATTATTATATAATCGAGTGAATAGTTTTCTGTTCTATGTTCGTTCAGTAAATGGGTTCAGAATTTGCGTATCTTTCGTGCACAGTAACTGCAGGAAAAGCGTTACGTCTTGATTAGAATCCCAAATAGTTTTACTCTTCAGTTATTAGACGAAGGTTAACATGATTGTCTAATAGTTGCTCGCACGAAAACTTGCTGAAATTTCTACCAAGGTACTTATTTCCAATTAAGAGGATAGTCAGAAACTGTATTCAACGCAATTAGATATTGAATACGAATCGCGTTATTCTCGCGTTTCGCCAGGCGAATCTTAGGTTTTCGCGAAAAAGCAACATCGCGTTCAACGGTTTCTCGAGGATTACTAAACGATGATTACCGACGTTATGAGCGGAATCTAATGCAACTTCGACGATAATAGCCGGCACGGCGAGCACGCGTCGTCGCGTGTGCGCACGGCGTTAAATTATTGATATTCTAATTACCTTGGAATAATTAGAGGACACCGCTCTGCGGCTCGCGCGGTTCCTAACGGCGGTGGAACGCATTTCACCGAGACCTCGCTGGTAGTTCGCTTCATTTGCGATGAATGCTCGTTTGACCACTGCTAGCAGCAGCAACAACAGCAGCAGCAGCAAGCGATACACAGTAACGCGATTAATCGTGGGACTAACCTGGCGCGCGTCGTGAAAATAGATTTGACCGGCCGCGCGCGCTATTGTCGGCCGCTCGTTTCCGTCAGCTTCGAAAATATCCGTCCGCCTATATTAAGTGGAAAATGACGGCGCCTGGCTATATTAATCCCGCCGCTCCACTAACGAGAATAACAAAATTTCCCCGGCACAGAAACAATCCTCGCCGTGGACATGCACTTCTCTCCGTTGCCTCAGTCCGCGACTCGTTAGCTCACAACGTTTGCTCGAATTTGGAATTATCACCCGTGGAAAAGATTTATGCGCGAATCGAATTACGGAGAAATGCGGTGAAGTGCGCGCCACGGCGCCGCGCGAATTAAGTTTCTCGACACTGAGAAGAAAATACGTACCTGGGAATTTATTTGCGGGATATAATTTCTGTGGGATTTATTGATTTTTACAACACAATAAACTTTCGCAGAAATATACTTTGTATCTCCCACGGAAAGAAAGAAACGTTTCGTTGGATTAACTGAATATCTGGTGAAATATGAACGAACCAGAGAATTGCGGTTGACATTGCTGGAATTCGATTCAAATTAATCGGCGATCTTGTTAACTTGAACAGAATTTTAGTGACTTCACTTCTGTTGCGTTCCATTTTACCAGAGATTTGGTTAATATAAGTAAACTTCTCAAGCAGGAATATTGGTTAATATAAGCAAACTTCTCAAGCAGGAATATTTCTAGAAAAAAACTAATTACGAGCCAGAAACTGGCAAGTTTTTACTGCCTAAGATTTATTGGACAATAATTATCCAAAAACTTAACAGGAAGATATTAACCACTATTTCTTTACCAGCTACTGGCCAGAAATCAAGCAATAAAAAATTGTAAGTAAATGTTAGACAATTTTCTTGTAAAACATTGTCTAGTAAAACATTGAAAAATACTGAACAGAAAAGAGACAAAAAAGATAATAAATGAAAATTACAACCATCTCAATGATAAATAAATTTGCATGTAAAAAGACTCTACCTTTTAAAACATGAGTTTCATGTTAATTTTATATTGAATAATAAAATATAATATCTTATAATGTAGAGAATTAAACGATGAAAGTTATTCTATAGAATTTTGTATAAAAGAGAGTTTAATTAGAAACTGGTAAAAAACTGGTTAGAATCTAGTCAGAAATTGACTGAGGGTGGAGTCCTATGGCATGTATTTTCCGCGTACCGTGTAAGCGCGTAACCAATAAATTGCGACGTATAGTATTTCTGTTGGAACTTCTAAAAGAATAGAAAGATGTGATTGGTTACGCGGTTACGCGTTATGCGAAAATACGTGCCATGGGACTCCACTCTAATTCTACTAGTCCAGTTACTAGCGAAGCAAGCGTCACTTAAATTGACCAGAAACTAGCCAGTAACCAGATTCTTAGCCAATTATTGGTTAGAAAGAGATCGTTTCTACCTGGGTTTCTCTTTCCGTGTACAAATAAGTTTCCAAGTATTTCTTCTCAGTGGAGAGAAACGGCGTAGCACATTCTTATTTCTCAGTTAATTTCTTACGTGGACTCTTCTAGATAATTTGACCCGCGCGATGCGGAGGAGGGAACGGAAAGATAGACGCTAGGAGTACGTGGGGTGTCAGGAATACACTACGGCGATAAATCCAACAAATTGCGGAAGTTTTCTGATAGGATCGTGCCGATAGAGCGCGAAGGCGGACAATTAGGCGAGAATCTCGCGCGCATCGCGCTCGTAAAAAGATAACTCGGAAGGGGATGATTCTAACGCGGGCCCCTTCGCATCTCCGTGTGTTACGTTCGCGAAATTGAACGCTGACGACGTTGCCGCGCGCGTACCCATACCCGGCTGACTTCGCGCGAAACGTTATTTATGAAGGATCGAGTTTCTCGTCAGCGTCCGCATTACGACGCGCGAGAAAATTCGCAACGCGCCGCAAATATATTTTCGAAGCGCCGCTGTGCTGCACCGACCGCGCCAGGAAAGAGATTCCTCCGCCCCGCCTGGCAGTCTGGATCCCCCAGTAACGCGAGGGTGAAACCGATACCCGTGCAATTTTCTCAATTGCAGCCCCACCCTGTCCTTTTGTCAATACACACGTTTCACTGTGTGCTGCTGCTGTTGCAGATCGCGTTTAATTCGGTGACGTCATCGTCAGAGAGAGGGAGAGGGAGAGAGAGAGAGAGAGAGGGAGAATGCGAAACGAGTTTCTCTTTATACTTAATTAACTGAAACTACCTGGCGTTGCCCGCGTTATTACAAGGTGTAAAGAGGATGAAATTCAGAATGGGGTGTCCAAAGGTTTCATGTAGCCTATATTTTCCGTAGAGATTATTTAGAGTGTAACTACGGTATAAAAAAATGTTGATGTTAAATTTAACACATTTCACGTGTCCTCATTTACCCATTGTAATCTTTGCGTTAATTTAACACAAGCCGAATACGTAAACAAATTATGCAAGTTAATTTAACACAAGCTGAATACGTAAATAAATTATACAAGTAATATGTCAGAAATAAACACAAAAATGTAATATTTAAACATTATTGTGTTATTTTAACACAACGCGAAATAGTCAAAATACTACGATAATATGTTAAATTAATATACGAAAATGTTAGAAATTTGACACAAAATTTTCTACACAAATCGATTTTGATATAAGTACAAAATGTTTTTTATTCTATGTGCAGAATTTTATTCAGATCAATCGAAGAGTCTAGAAGTGTCTAGAGAACATACAAACAGTCGGACATTTTATTTTATACATATGTAGATTGCAAAACGACGATAACGGAGAAGTGAGTGTGTTATTAGCAGAGATCGCAATTAAAAGCTTCTGAATATCTTCGTAGAACATTTGTCTCGTTCACCGAGAGCAAGAAATTTTGGCCAAGGCTACGCTTGTAAAGACTTATTTAGCGCAGTATCACGCGCGCAACGTAACTGACCCGCGTGTTTATCCGGCCATTAGCTCAGCGGCAATAATAATAACCGCCGCCGACTCGAAACAACGACGTTGATTTATTACCGAGCCGTGACCGCGAATTCGCCGGCAGCGCTATCGCCAATTATCAAAGTAGAGATTTATTCAGTTAGCTGCGCTTGTTTAGTTAGGCGATAAATCCGTATAATTCGATCGGGGCTACGTCTCGAAAGAAAAAAGAAGAATGAGAAGGAGAGAAAGAGAATAAGAAGAGGGAGAGGCTTCGTTTTGTTTTCTTAGAATAGAAAAGAATACTGGTTTATTATGTCCTAGGATAATAGCTTATCAGGAATAATATTTTACCAGGCGAACACATATACAGATACAAGTAATATTAGTATACACACACATACAGAAAAATACATACTACATTTAAATATAATGTTACTTGTTTCGAGTATTTCATAAGTTTATACATCCGCAAATCTATCATAAGTTTATAATAAGCATCAAATTAATGCAAAATACATTCTTAGTAAATTTAGTATTTTAATGAAGAATACACTGAGAGAAAAAATAACCGGAAAATAAAAAATATTTAACCATGGTAATATTTAGTTAAATCTAAATTTTTTTATTGAAATAGAACAAACGATTACTTTTATGAAAAGTTAAGGTTTTAAGAAAATATATATTTTTTTCTTTGAAAAAATGTTTATATTGTGTTTGTTTATCATTAATAATATCATAAATATCATAAATGTTTATCATTAATAATATAATTAATATTATTATGTTTCTTTTATTTTTTAGACATTTTTTCTCTTAGTGTGTTAAATTAAAACAGAAATTCGTTCTGCTTACTACATAAAGTCGAGCCAACATTTTCCTCGATAAAATTTTATAATATTCTTCTAAAGAGGATAATTTCTTCTTTTGAGTACATCGCAACGAGCTTTTCTAGAATTTTTGATGAGTATATTTTAACACTATTATAAAAAAAATATTCTTTGCTGAGAAGATAACCATTGCTTAAAAGAAGGAAAATAAATTGAGTAGTCATCTTTCTTAGCGGTAGAATGACATTTTTCTGTGTGCACAGACAATTGTCTTGCAGAGGAATAACAAGATATAGATATAGGAAAAGAAAAAAAATTAGTAACATATACACACCCGCACAAGAAGTAAAAATAATATAAGTAAAATAAAAATATTTATTTGGACTTATGCTTGGACATGTACTTAACTTTAGACATTCTTATTGTTTTGGTCTTTAAACATGAATATTTAACTTTTTATATAGAATATATACAAGGTGTCTAATAATTAATGACCGGCTGTGTGCAGATAAAAGTCATCAAACCAAACACAAAATACTAATTCGCGAATGATTGCGTAGAATTTTGAGATATTAACTAAAAAAGGTTGGCGAATGATCACACGCGAATATGGTAAATGATCGCGACGTTTGGCGCGGTGTGCTTGTATATTAGGTCAAACTGAATAAAAAGGCTCTGTGTCATTTTGCAAATAATCGCATAGATTTTTATTTATTCATTAAAGAAGATCGCATACAATTATTGTATGCATTATCGCATTCAATTATTCACCTAATACAAAAGGAAAATAATCTCTAAGTATACAGAAATTACCTAGGAAATTACAATAATGAGGAAAGATATATAGGCAATTTTGCACAGTAAGATGCAAGAGTGAAACAATAAATCTTTGGGGTAACGGCAGTTCATCGTCTCGCCTTGGCCGATAAGTGTGTGGCCCCTGTACCTTTACTCTCGAAAACGCCAATAAAAGTCGACGCGACGGGGTCGCGCGCTTGCGTGACCGGCGGAATTTAGTTACTCATTTAAGTTTCATTTGCGTTACGTGCCCGATGCACCCTATGCGCGCGGTGCACGCTCTCTCTCTCTCTCTTTCTCTCTCTCTCTCTCTCTCTCTCTCTCTCTCTCTCTCCGCGAGAGAGCCGATGCATCGTGTAACCTCACGCAACGCACGCGAGCAAGGACGACCGGCGTCGCGTTGGCTCGATAAATCGGTCGAGAGGATACTACCGGCCCTCACGACAGCCCCCTTTGCGCGTAAGAATTTCACTGAACGTCTCCCCCTCTCTCTCTCTCTCTCTCGCGTAAGTGAAATTCCGCAGTCTCCAGCGAGTTTCCGTATTAACCCTCTCCACCTTCCTTCCCCCAGCTTTCCGCGGTCTTTGAATTGCGCTGAATTACTCGTCCATCTTTTCGTTCGATTTTTGTAATTTGGCACACATACATCGTCGAATTCTTTGGATCCTTTCTCTCTCTCTCTCTCTCTCTCTCTCTCTCTCTCTTTGCGCGAGAGATTTGACGGATATGCGACGGATACGCGCGCGTCTTCCTCGATCAATATTTGCAGGGACTTTGTTCTTTCCTATTTTTTTTTTTGGCTTATTTTATGATGTCAAATCTGTGTTTGCGTCGCCACACGATTTACTCTACTGAAGAAGGGAATCCGCGAAAGGACGTTTGATTGACGGCTGTGAAATGATACGGGCACGGTTCAATCGGCCGGATATATGGGAAGGTATATGGCGGATATATGCAAAAAAGTAATTAATTTCTTGCTCGTGCGTTCCGGTAGCTTTGTAATACTATATCCAGTTGAGATTATTCGCGCGCGCGCACATTCGCGTGTGCGTATGAATGAAATGCAGCCGGTGCTACGAAGAAATTGCACCTGAGTCTCTTTGTCTCTCGCTGTCTCAGATTCGAAGGACATCAGAGAACGAAGGATATAAATTCTTTGATGTTTCATCCTTGCCACAGTGCTTCAACATTTTTTACTCAGCTTTGTGCATCCGACGCTTTGTAATAAAATACGAAACACGAAACGTTGACGGTATAATATTGGCGCGAATTACTGAAATAAAAATTCGTACGCACATCAAACAGGGCACAATTTCGTCGGCACTTTTCAGACGCGTTGATATGAGGAAGATTACCTAAGTAAGAGAAGAGCGACCTCTTTCTAGCCAATAAGCAGCCGGGAACTACTACCTAGTTTCTGACCAATTTAAGTGACGTTTGCTTTACTAGAAACTGAACGTTGAAACTAATTCGTTTCTGACCAGTTTCTAACCAGATTTTGACCAGTTTGTAGCGAAACTTTGTTTTCGTATAAAATTCTATCAAATAGTCTTTATCGTTCAATTCTTTTTACACATTGTAAAATATTGGACTTTATTATTCGGTATAAAAGTAAACTCGTGTTTTAGAAAGTAGAGTTTTTTCGTTTGCAAATTCTTTTATTAGTGAAATAGTTGTAGCTTTATTTTAAATTACAATACTATTTTTTTGTCTACTTTATGGCTAGTAATTGGCTAAGAGACATTGGCCAATATTTTTCCGTTCAGTTTCTGAACAGTTAGGAGAGACCGGAATGAATTAAATCGATTATTTCTACTGTTCTTTAACGGATTCAGAATCAAGTAAGCAAGGATTTCAAAACCATCTCTGATTGTGTTTAAAAATCTTACTTGCTTAATTTTGTAACTTGTTAGTAAATACTAGAAATAACCGATTTTGTTAACTTATCCCGATAGTCAGCTAGCCCCGGTCTCATCTACTGTCTGATAAACCTATTAGAAACTGGCCGGTATTTGGTTAGTTTTTACTGAAAGTTTTTGTGCTTGAATATATTGAATAATAACTTAATGTTAAGTTTAGGATATATATCATTTCACCGAAAGGTATTCCGGTTCTTTGTTTAATCCGACGCTTTATTATCGGCTCGCATTCGCTACCGCGGAGAGATCGTTGGTCAGGTAGGAGATAATTCGTCCACGCTTCTTCCTACCTGCACTATCTGTGCCATCAGATCGCATTAATTTCCAGCGCGCTGCAATTTAAGCGGCTTCACTTTATAATTTGCGATTAAAGCCTTTATATTCGCACAGGCGCGAGATACATTGTGTCCCGCGCCTGATGAAAGCGTCAACGCATATTTCGAGATAGCGCGTGATGGAATATCCTCGCGTCTCCCGGTGCCGACGACAGTCGATTGTCCCGATGTATCGGAACTTCCGCTCCCTGATCCGCTTTCCTGTACGATTGATCGATTGGCTGTCAAATATTTCTGAGCCGCTCGCGCGCGCGAAGCGAAAGGCGAAAGGAGGGCCAATCGGCATTTTCACTGTCGCGATCTCGAGCGCGAGATGCAATCGGATTGAATGCAAATGTAGAGCGGATGTCTTTATCGTGGAGAAAATACTTGGCTACCCCGCGCGAGATCGCAATCGGTTCATTTTAAGCGGCACGTTATAGCTTTACGGCGTGTTGCGGAAACACGCTTTACGGAAGTACTCGACTGTTCTCACCATTGCGTACAATGTGGAGAGGAAAAGCTGGAAAAGAAGAAAGAGAGAGAGGCCAAGTTGAAATTTCGGTTTCACACAGAAAAGAAACTTGGTTGGATTAACCAAATGTCCGGTAAAATACGAACGAATTACACAGAATTTCGGCTGAAGTTACCAGAATTCTGTTCAAGTTGATAAGATTCTAGTCAACCAAATAAGATTTCTGGTTAACCAGAACTTTAACTTGAACAGATGCAAGCTCTGGTAACTTCATCTGGAATTCTAGTTTGTTCACATTTCACCAGACATTTGGTTAATCTAACAAAAAATATTTTCCGTGTTTCAACTTCACAAATCCCATTCATGTTAAAAGACGACATGACGGAATGATAGTTGAAGGACCAATAGAGAGAATCTTTGATTTGAAATTATACAAACCATTGTTCTATCTAGTTAATTAAGCAACGAATAATAACTTAATTTAACTTTTACGTGTCCATATTGAGTTAAAAAAAAGACCCTAAAATTATTAATTATCCGATTATATCAACATTCTATCTATATTTAATTTTTATTCTTGTTTTTAATAAAGCAAAGAGGATTAATTATGTAACTTGATTGCAGGTAAAGTAAGTGCGCGATAAGTAAATATTAAATAATCTAATTGAAATTAATAGAGGTGAAAGAAGAGAATAAAACGGCGCAAACTTTCTTTTTTTACAATCTTCTCATGTATTTTCGTTTTTATCAGTGTTGGAAATAACCTGTAGGATTTGCAGAAGCAAAACAGGGAATCGTAAAAGCAAAGATGATAATTGTGTGTCTAATAATGCGGTGCACCGATAAAGACTTAAATTTGATTAATGTCCTAACTATACGTTAGTTATTAATAAATTAACTATAAAGTATTATTAATTATGTCACGACATCTCGCATCTTCCTAATATCCTTTCTCGTCTTTCTAATATCCTGTTCTCGTGTGTCGTTACATTCTGAATATTCATTTGTGGAATTCACGTAGATGGCATTGAATTGAAGAAACGAATATTAATTATCGCGAGAGAGATGTCAATAAGAGTCCGATTAAATTCTAAAAATCGGAGAGATATTTTAGCCATCCGATATGAATTACGAGTAATATATTGATTATGCAATGTAATTAGTGTATTACATTTGGAAAAAAATATTTGAAAATTTATTTGTAGGATATAAAGTTTATTTTTTGTCAAAATAAAGTTTGTTTCTGTGCGAAATAAATTTTTTTCTGCAAAATAAGCTTATTTCTGTCTATAAACTTTACATCTAACAAGTAAGTTTCCAAGTGTGGGCATTAATCGATTAAAATGTTAGTTGACTAAAATAATCGGTAAATCGATAGTCAAAGTAAATCAATTCTCATATGTAAAATCGTGAACAACTTAATCGATTGATGAAACTAATTATTAATAAAGCTTCGATTTGATTAATTATGCACTGACTAATAATTAATTTCACCAACCGATTAGATTATTCGTGATTATATGTATGATGGTTGATCTATTTCGATTATTGAGATTTGCGGATTGTTTGCCGACTATTTTAATCAAGGGAGATTTCAGTCGATCATAATAGAGCCCCAACACATTGTAAATGTAACGAAAAAATACGCGACGCGAGCGAGACTACCAAAACAATAAGCAAAAACGATATCACGCGTCAACCGCTAATCGTGGTCGCTCGCCGTCGGGCGTAGAGAGCAATCATAATAAACATTTTTCAAAACATTGCGAGCCTTCAAAGAGATCAAACATACTCGCGTGTCCCGTACTTTACCGAATGTCTCATTACGTGTCGAGCCGACGAGCGAAGTATACAACGCGACGCGGACTCCGTGAGTCGATCAGTTACTTACGATTTCCGCGCTGACTCTCTTAAAATATTTCATCGGGCTCTTACGGCATCGCGTTATTTATTAATTAACACGCGTTTCTCCAACCGAGTCGTATTCACGCGAATACCAGTGTTAGTGCTAGTGCTACGATGGAGTATTCGGAGCAGTCGATCGCCAAAATGCCGGATCGGGAAGCCAAAACGGAAGACGCAGGACGCTGGAGCGCAGGCAGGGATACATCGTATTTCAGGTGTGTTAAATCATTTATTATGCAGGTGGTTTCCGATTTCACGTTTGATGAATTCACCGATTTCGCGTTTGATGAATTCACAAAGAGACCCCAGTTGAAATTTGGGCCGGTATCCTTTGATAAATTATTGTTTGACAATTATAGTTTCATGAATCTCTGATTATACTCGTCAACCCTTAATTTTATGTAACTGGAAATACTGAAACAGCCGAATAACGGTCTATGAATACGAGTGTTATACGTTACGTTTGTGATTAATTATGCTCTCAATCAAAGATCGTACAGATGATTGGCATCTATGAATATATTCTGACTTTAAAATCCGTTCCAAATCCAAATCTCGCAAGTATCGTGTTTCATGTCTAATAATATTCCTCCTGCTGAAAAAACATCAGATTTTGATTTTATCAAGATTGTTTTATATGTTATTATGCTAAATTCAAAGTTAAATCTATTTTGATACACAACATTATTGGACACACAAATATCTTTGTCCTTACAACTTTTTTCTTTTCTCATTTTGAATCTCCAAATCTTACTAAAATTTCCGATCTTAATAAAAAAGAAAATAATAAGAGGATCGTATGAATGAAAACATTTATTATATGTTTTATTTATTTATTTATTTATTTATTAAATACTATATTATTTATCCGTATCAAATATTTGATATGTGCTTGTCTGAAATATTGTCTGAGTGAGTTTCGTAATTAAGATATTGCCAAGTTGAAATTGAGAGTAAAAATTAGTTGTCACTGAAATATTAAAATAATTTTGAAATAAGTTCCTTTTTTAGAGCAAATCAAATAATCATTCAAGATAAGGCAATAGTCTGTATTGTATCTAAAAATCTTATACAGTAAAAATATTATAATAAAAATTATAAAAAAAACTTTTGCAATGGATTACATAGAATTATGATCGAAATTTTAATGTATTTGTTGGAAAATACACACATTTGTCTTTTTACTACAAAATTGTAATCGTAATCGTGTGAATATATATTTTGTATCGTATATCACGCGCGCGCCCGCGCGATAGAAAAGATCGCGCGTCAAATTTATTATTAATATAATTATAATTTATTATAAATATAATTATAATTTATTATAAATATAATTTATTATTTTTTTAGCAATTTACACTACAATTTCAATATAGTTTAGCTTCACGAAAAACATTGTCAAAAGAGATATGATTTTAACGTAATTTTTTCTACAATATTTTCTCCGCGTACATTGATTTTTCAAGCTCGACAAGATCTCTGTAGTGTTAATGTAAAGCCGCAATTTCGATTCAGAATATTTGCAAACAAATTAACGCGTATCTACTAAGTCACTTTGAAGTCTCAGCAGCATAATATTTTTTCGCAGAACGTTCCCTTTTTTAATATCGTCTAGCAATTTTCACACAGAAAGGAGCGCAGTTGCGCTTCCTTTTTTTTCTCCGGCATGCATTTTCGCTCTCTTGTGCTATTTTGCCTTGCTTATCGGGCTCTCCCTATTCCTTTTTTTTCCCAGTATAAGAGCGCAGCATCTTCGGGAGGGGAACGACGTTTCAAGACGGCGGAAGCGCCGTTGCAAAATCGCGCCCACGGTGGAATCGATAACCGCCCTCGCCTTCGCGCGCGCGTCGCCCGTACTAAAAAGTATGTCAGCTGGCACATCGATACGGGCGATGTGAAACAGCCTTAAGTCCAAAGTTGTGTCCCCGCTTCGCGTTTTAAGTCGCGTCTACCGTGTAATTTCGCGATCGTTAGGCGTACAAAGCTCACGCGACACGACCATACGGTGAATCGTACAGCCACGCCGTCGCACCGTTATATTAAGCAAATACGTCTGACCATACCGCGACCAAATTACGCTCGGGAGATCCTTAATACGCATAATTTATAGGGATCTCGTGCATTTTGTGTGCCGCATCGGTTAGCCGCACGGCGTTTGCAGTTTCGCGTCGTGATTATGCCGATCGTTTGGCATTCGCTGTTAACGTATAATGTCCGCATTCCGGCTAATTTCGCTGCGTGCCCGAGCATCGGACGCGAACTCTCATAATCGTCATGATGCCGGCTCGTTGAAGAATCGATCAGTTACCGCACAAATCCGATAATCCGTGAATACATCCCGTTATCCCGATGAAATTAACACTAGAATTCCTGGGAACGACAACCAACTTTGGATATCCGCATGGGAAAATATTTCAGTTCGTGTAATTGAACTTACCACAGACGAAAAACTCGCTGACGAGAAATAATATTTCCGTTACTGCAATTGCAAACATTCGAAATTCTGAACGTTTAGCCGCATCAAAACTCGGTTGATGTAACTGAAAACAACTGACTGAGTAGAGACTTGTTGTAGAAACAAAAAGATTCCTACAGTTTTTCAATAAGATTCCTAGATAATAGAAAATTCTGTTACACTGAAGGACTACTAACAAATACGATTACTAATGACTACTAACATAAGAAAAGAACAAATAACTTGCTTTTTCCGTAAGAGAGTCATTTTGACTGCTTGCGCTTTTAACATTTTGCAACTCTCTCTGTTCCTTATTATTTGTATCAATAATGACTTCTGAACATGCTAAAATAATTTGCAAAATATAGATATTTTATATTGTGAATAAATTGCAACAGTTATCATAATTTTCCCAAACTTATAATTACGTACAGTAAAATGCATCATAATTATTACTTATTTGCCTTCCATAATTGGATATAAAAGATAATAATAATTATCATAATTGAATATAAAAAGATGGTATATGACAATTGTTAAAAAAGATCATTGAATAGATACAGAGTAAAATATGAACTTAAGCGAGATTAAAAAACTAAAACTTCAAGTAATAATTTGTTATTATATCATAATACTGACAAATAAAGTGTCAAAATGGTAGGTTATAAAATAATTCATCTAAGATAGGTTATAAAATAATTTATCATAATATCATCGATCTTTTCTGTTATTCTTTCAGTGTGTGTTACTTTAAAAATAATAAAAAATTGAGAGATTTTTTTCTCCTAAACCACAAAATGATGAACACAAAAAAGAGTCAAAATGATTTACCCAAAAATATAGATGTTTATTTTTAGCGGAAATCTTTTTAAATATAGCCTCAAAAGGATCAATTCGTGATCAGTATTAAATATTATTCGGACCTTCTTCCTTTGGATCAAGAGTAACAAGTTTACTTGAATAAGAATATCTTCTTACTAGAAGAAATTTCTATCAAAAATAAGATTTGTATCGTAGATAGAAGATGAAATACCTCTAACTTTAAGAGAGAAAGAGAATATTTTTCCCTAGAATATTTTTCTCTCGGTTTTAGAAGAATCCTCTTGAGACCACATATGTAAGAGAATGTCCTATCTAAGAATAAGATTATATATTTTTGGGTGACTCACGTCACGGATAACAACCGGCATAATAGACCGCGAGAGTGTGACGTTCGAATCTAACGCGATCCGTCATGAAATTGTCTTGTCGATCTCGAGAGAGAGATACTCTTTTGGCCGCGCGTGTGACAGAGCTCAGCCTCTCATTTGGGTCATACAAGATCAACATACAGACGGCGTTTCGCGATGAGCTCCGTGATAATTATGAACTGGATCACGATGCCGTCTCTAATACGTAGCCGTAGATATTATATGGTCTGTCTATACGGGCCGGCCGTAATCAATATCCGCGATCCGAGCGATGTCCATAATTAATTTCGCAGACTGAAACCTGAGTCGCGCGATTAGCGCGCAGTGTGTGCTCGCGCCGGTTTGTACAGCTCTTGGTTTATGGCGCACGTAGTTGCACGTAGCGTACGTAAGTATGGACGCGTCGTGAGGGCTTAGTGTACGGGAGTTATTTCGTCGATGGCACGGGAATCACTTTATCAGGAGCGGCCCTCACTTAGGGCGGGAGACAAGGTGCCCGGATAAGCGCGCATCAGATTCGCGACGGTGTAAGCGAGCAGCATCGCTTTCAACGATAAGAGACTTTATTAACGGGAGGCACGCGAACGAGCGAGCGTGCTCGCGGGATAAACGATCCACGTGTCAACGCACTGTTAAAAGTGCCTCCTCCTTCGTTAGTGACTCACGGCGCGACGTCGTCTCCTTCCGTCGTGGCATGCCAGAATTTTCGAGGCGTAAGAACCGTGTCACGGCTAGTTCCCTCCGTCAAGGGCTCAGTGTTTTTCTTCTCGGCTTATTTTTCTTCCCTTGTGTAATCCGCTCAGGACATTATTACTGCCCGCTCGAGCCGTAGCTGGAGAAAGTTCTCTCTCTCTCTCTCTTTCTCTCTCTCTCTGAAATTGAATTGGGATTAGTGGAATATTGTGCTCGCTTATATTCGAATATTAACGGATACGAGGCGTACGTGGATGTCTCTACGTTTACGACTTTAAGCCACTAAAGTGAATGATCATACACTAAAGTGAATGATGTATTCCAAAAATGTCGATTACCTAGAAGCGATTATCAAAACATCATTTAGACAAGCATTACACGACTTTATTACCCTTTTCGTATTTCTTGGAACTTCTTTGTCGAAATTGAGAACTTCGTAATTGAGAATTGTTACTGACGGGTTTGCTCAATAATTTTTTATATTATTAATTATAATTTTTATTTTATTATATATTTTATTATTATTAATTTTTATATTATTTTTTATTATACTTAAATATATTAATTATATTATTTTACATAAGTCCGTCGACAATTCTCAATCTTGACAGTTTGATGAGAGCTCTCAACTTTATTGTGTTTAAACCGTTTTACAACCCACTGTGTATATAGATTTTATACAAAGAGAGAGAATAATATCTAAATAATAGAAAAGATTTATTCGATAATTACTAATAATATATTTATTAAATTTAAGTTCTTTTGTTTAAATAGAATAAACAATTGCTTTTGTGTAAAGTAAAATGATTTTAGGAGAATATATATTTTCTCATTCGAGAGAAATTTTCTTTTTTATGAATATAGAAATATGTATATT